CAAGTTTTAAAAGCGAAAAAAGAAGAGGTTTTTGAATGATCTACAACGAAAATTTGGCATGAAAGGAAAGCGAATGTATTGACGTTTTGGGCCAAGTTCTTCTGTGAACCATCCGCAAGATTTTCAGCCAAAAAGATGAGGATTTCTCCAAACTTTATTAAAAATAGAAGTCTGAAATCACAAGAAAGATGAACATGGAACTCAAGTGAGCAGATACGATTTTTTAAAGGGTATTTTTGAGTAGAAATATGCAATCAAACACTCGCAAAATTCGACCGCATTAATGTTGGTTGAATCTAGTTTAAAGTTATCTTTTTAGACGAACTGTTTATGCAAATTTGGGCGCTTTTTTTTACTGTTTTCGTGACCCCATTGTTGGTCTTCTTGTTCAAGTTGTTATTTTAGCTAAAATATGTTTCAAACGACACCAGGTTAAACTTACTCTGTGTGTATGTATCATATATCACTCGTGTATCATATATCACTCAATCATATATCACACATGTTTGGTTGAAAAGATCAGACTTTTTTATGCAATTGTTTCTGAGATATTGCCATTTTGGTGAAAGCTTGGAATTCAATCATGAATTTGCCATTTTGCATTGCCACTTTAGGGGGTGGTAACGTTGTAACAGCTTGCCAGTTAATGAGTTAAAAAATAAATAATATATAGCGGCACTTGCAGAACGCAAATCGTAGACATGTTCATATAAAGGCAAGCTACCATTCTAACCGATTTACTCAGCAACGAGAAGATCTAGGACAGGAATTTATGTAAACTTGTTTTATAGTTTTCCGGTGACTATTTACATGACACATTCGAGTAACTCATCTTGCCAAGAACCTGTCAGGCACCAGAGAGAGAACAGACAGGAAGAAATTAAAGTTATTAGGAGTGGATAACAGATACAAATATTTCTACTAATTACCAACAGCAAATAATAACAATCACAGCAACAGGTAAACAAAACTAAAATATCACGATTATGTACTATTTGGATATTCTCCGAAATCAGAATGATCAAGAATGACTATTAAGTTCGTAGCTAGTGAAACCATTTTCTAACAAAACAATTCAGTATGATGTCGTGCTCCCTTACTTTGGAGAAGACATATATCTTAGAAAGGTAGCATAGATCTTAGTAAAATATATTTCTTAAAATTTCTGAAATTTTATATTCTCCCTCCTTTAATATTTGCCAAAATTTGTGCGAGTATACATGTGTCACTTGTTTACATCCACTAAATGTCGGGGCCTTACTTGAATGCTTAAATCGTAAATTGACTTCGAGTTAAGCCCCCGGCGAAAAAGGGTGTGGCAGGGGCTTAAGTCGAAAAAGGCTTAACTCGAAAAATACCTACCCCGAACAGAACATAATTTTTAAAAACTGGTTTACACTATTTAGTATCATTGGCGAAATATCATATGTCATGCCAAATTCTCATGTTACAGGAATTTTTATTATAAAAAACAAGTCTATGAAAATATGCAGCAAACATGTTGAATGTCTGAAAATTTACCCTGCAGTTAAAATACAATAATATTCAAATTAAGAATCCATTTTTATCATAATCAAATGTATAAAATATTTATCGGTTTTTAGGACATATGCTCATTAAGAAAAAATGCATCATGCTGTGTCTATGCCATGAAAGCCCTACTCTTTTGTTTAAAATGTCTCATTTAAAAGAAAATATCGAAGGTCAACTGACAAGACCGCAATACAGTGAAAACATATGACAAACGGCTGAATATATGCTTGTGATGTTACTCTGAGTGTATATCCGCACCGGACAGGCTTGAAAAATATGCCTGGCCACGGTGGGAATCAAACCTACGACCTTTGGAATACTAGCCCAATACTCTGCCAACTGAGCTACACGGTCAGTTCGAGTATGTAATGTAATCTAGTAATCATGATTTTTTTGTGTTGGTGTAATGTACTCAGGTGAATAAGATGCTTGTGATGTTACTCTGAGTGTATGTCCACACTGGGGTTAGTATTCCAAAGGTTGCAGGTTCGATTCCCACCGTGGCCAAGCATATTTTGCAAGCTGGCCCAGTGTGGATATACTACACTCAGAATAACATTACAAGCATCGTATTCACCTGAGTACATCACACCAACACAGAAAATAACTGAATGTATACTTACATTCAGATAGAATAAATTACGCACATTTCAGCTTGGTCAATATGTGAACAGCGGTAAGTACATGTGCACCTTGACCTAAAAGTGTAATCCTCTTGAAAACGTTTTCTTTACGCTCGCGGTTGACCTATACATGTTTAAAATATTTTTTTTGACGTTGTCAGAAAACGTAAATCTGTAACACAATAAGAATGTGGTTGCCACATACCAACCTGTGGACCCGTACATGCTTAAAACATTTTCTCGATGTTCGCAGAAACCTGTAAATCTGTAACATTATAAGAACATAAATTTCGACGTCAGGATATTCATTCTAATTAGTCTTGTGTACAAACAACGTTCTATTTTCGTTATTGAACGAAAACCGTCAAAACATACAACAATACATGACGTTTGTATTGTATGACCCTGCAAAGGCCAGAAATGGATTTGGAAGGTCAAATTGCACCTGCATGCGTGAGTTTGATGTCATCCCGGCCACAGGAGCTTCTTATTGGCCAATTATTGCACAATGTACGCGAGTGCGAGTAAAAACCTGATATCAGCTGATAATTTGAAAAATTGAAAATAAATATTTCTACTGGCCGTATTCGTACGAAACTTTCTACACGAAAGAGCTTGAATACAAAGAGTGTTTTACTCATACAGCCTTTTAGGAAATGACAAAAAGTTTAAAAAATATTCAACTTTTTCTCGATATCCAATACAGAATGTTTGGCCAAGCGGTGAGTATAAACTATGATTGTTTCGGTTTGTATAATGTTTTGACGGCACTTGACCCCCCGTTCGAAAGGTTATTTTGTGAGGATTTCAATGGTGGGTTTTGTTTTAAAGGGGGGTAAATACCCGCCGAGATATTTACCATTAGAAATATTGACTCGTAATGTAAAACCGCCCGTCGTTAAAACACAAGAAAGAGTTTTCAAACATTGTGCTTACGTACGTACTGTGCTAGCTGGGCTCTGAGTAGCAACATACAATATTTTTAATATTAAATAAATACTGCTCTACAAATTTTTGTGTTGAGCAATATTGTTGTTTTGTGTTGTTTGTTCTTCAATCTACTCCAATAACAAAACAGTTGGTATATATACAGAACCCGAAACACATCTGAAACTTTTATCACAGTAAGTTGGAGAATTGAAAATGCTCGATTTAAAAATTGCAGTGGTTAGTGCAGCCCAACTTAATCTATTGTCTATATGCCAAACATTTCATGTTGTTTGGACTGTTATCTTGTGAGTGGAATTTGCTATATACTTGCAATAGGCTCTGATGCATCTTCTAATGCTTTGAAAATTTAGTAAACGCTCACAAAAATTTTTTGTGCCTTATAGACAGGATTTATTTCCTGTGTATTGGCAAAACTAGTTTTATTAGAAAACCAAACATCAACATTAATGAAAAGTATGCCAACTTAGTTGTGCAACATACGACCACACATATATACTACATTTCTGGTCAAGTTCAAGGTTCGGAATAATTAAGATGAGGTTGATGTTTGAAACAGGGCCTTTTTTAACTATATACGTGGGGGGGGGGCAAGGACCCCCACCCCCTCCTTTGGCCCCCCCACTGATGGGTTTTGCCCCCCCCCCACTAAATTGTCATGTTGTTACTTTAGCACATAGCATAAAATAAAAATGCATGCACTACTCTGGGCAGTGGGCAAGGACAGTTAAATTTCCTACCATTTAAATAATAACAGAATAATACAGTTTTATTCAGATCAGTGGTCTATTCCTTATATTTGTGTAAAACGAAGTACATGTACATGAATCAGTTCATAACGCAGGCGCATTGTAATTGACCTGGTTGTTTTTCGAAATTTGCTTTTTTAAATTGTTTTCATAACATTTTTGGGGATTTCATTTTCTACAAAACATATTAAAATATTGTCAATATGTGATTGAGAATGTCTAATGCAACAAAACGAAAGGCAGAAAATGAAAAAATTCTGCAAAAGGAAGCAAATACATGCAAAAGGATAACTTCATTTTTCTCCAAAGCCACTGGAGAATGCAATCAATCTCATATACCCAACCGGGTACCAAACTCAGAGAACGTTCAAGAGGCTGATATATCCGAATGGGTTCCAAGCTCAGAGGCCGTCCAGGAAGAGTTTACATCGGATACCCCTATGGGCGCTGAAAGTCTAAGCACTTGCGACCAGTTTCAAGACAAGGACAGTGTCGGTAATTGTACAACTGTAAACTCTGACACTTCGACCATTTCGAGTGTAGTCCCAGAGAGTAGTTTAGGACCATCGCTGGAGAATGACGAAACATGTCGAGAGACATGCCAAGAGTCCAACCAAAGGTGCCAAGTTTATCTATATCGTGGTTATCCTTTGAATATAAACGCTATTGTTAAAAAGGCAGGGCCCGGTGTGCTTCATCTTTACAAAGAGAAGTCCAAGACTCGAAGTGCAAATCAGGAAAAAAATAAAACTCGGTCATTCGTGAAATGTCTTGTGTGTGCTGAATATGAAGAGGAGGCAAAACGATTTTCTACCAACCATCAGGTGTATCTTGTGTACGGTGTTCGCTGTGACGGGAAAAAGAAAATGCAGGATGTTGTGGATCATTTACTCGGTGCCGCCCATGACGCTGCAATTAAGTTGAAAAATCTTTCCACTCAATGGGCTACAAAGGCTCCAAATCATCCCTGGTTACGGACGCTAAAGAATCACGATTCAAGCGTCATCACGACACTTACACATATGGCGTCTATAACGACAGCAAATTGCTGACGTCTGCTGCCTGGTCCTGGCCTTCACGATCGTTGTCTCAACTGCATGCAGAAGAGCAATTTGTCAAGTATACGAATGATTCTCCTGAAGGTGGAATGCAATTTTCTGAGTTTCAACCTCAAGCAATCCAATTGCACTACCGAGATCCTGTACATTACGCTGAAATGCTTCACATTCAAGGTGATCTTGAACGACAAAAGTTGAATGAGGAACTTCGAACATGCCTTCGGTTCGCGGTTCAAGTAGACGGATCCGTAGACACAAAACAGCAGGACAAGAAATTTGTGTTTGTTCGTTTGAATTCTGAAGAAAACCCACTTTCAATTCAAACACGTTTGGTAAGTGTTAAGCAAGTCGAGAAACGCGGTGCGCATGGTTTGTTCGATGCTGTTGTTTCTTCATTAAAGGATGTTGGGCTCGATGATATGGACATCAAAGCAAAATATTCCGGACTTACCACAGATGGTGAGTCCGCAAACACAGGTCAAAAATCGGGTCTATGGGCGCGAATGGATGAATATGTTGGGCATCCATCATTTAACCTATGGTGTGCTTGTCACAGGTCAGATTTGGCCATGGAGGATCTTGTTGCATCAGTTCCAGAGTTGACAATTTGGAAAGCTAATGTCGTCGCTGTTGCAACTTATTATCGTACATCTGGTCTGCGCACCAAAGAGCTAAAGACCTTGTTTCCGAGAATGAAATCATTTCCAGCACACCACGAAGTAAGATTTGGACAACACCTTGTACAGTTGCGTGAGGCGGTCCTTTACAACCTTGACAGCTGTCGTCTCCACTGGCAGAAAGTTGTTGATTCCGATCCCCGGGACGACGGTTATGGTAAGAAAGAGAAGGAGAAAGCAAAAGGATTTCTCAAAACCTGCTTCCTTCAGGCATTCAAGTATGGCTTACTGCTCTTATGGTTGACGTCTGCTCCATCTTCCGGTATATCGAGAAAGAGTGTCAAAAAGAACACATCATCCTCCCTGATATTCTCAGATACAAAGACGTGGCAATGCAAAAATTGGTCCTGATGAAGAATAAGCCATACCCAGGTAAGGTATACACAAACTTGCGTAAAAATGTTTGTTGGTGGCATATCAATTAATTCACTTTGATACCTTAGGTGGTCAAGAAGAACAACATCAGAAAAGATTGTCTGGCGGGGCTGATGCAGAAAGTGAGCAAAGACGAACTACTCATTCGTTGGTGACCACGTTTCGCCGTGGAAAAGAACCGATTAGAGTTGAAGTTATAGCATCTTCAGAAAATTTTCTGAATGTAAGTAAAGTTGCTATCAAAAGATTAATGATATGCTTATTCATGTCTTTATTTGCAACTCTTTTATTTTTTGAAACTATAGACTCGGCTAAATGATGAGCAAAATGAAGTTGTCAGGCAGATGATAGAAATCATAACAGCCACGACGGCTATCGAGTTCATTAATGCATCTCTTCCTCTTCTTGCATTATGTAACATAAAAGACCAAGACAAGTTCTTGAATGCAGTTCTCGAAAATTTCGACTCAATGAAGCCTGGAGATGAAATATCCGCTCATGACTACGGTGTTCGGCTGTATTCAATGTTGAGAGGTAGCAAGCCACCTGCTACTGAGTTCCTTTCAACGTTCTGCGTCGTCTCGCCCCACAGCATGACCGTAGAAAGGTCTATGTCGACATATAACATGCTCTTCTCTGATCTAAGAACATCAACCTCCGATACAATATTAATTGATCGACTATTAATTCACTGGAATGGTGTTGCCACTGCACTTTACGATCCACGGCCGGCTGTTCAGAATTTCATGCTTAGGAAGGACCGAAGAATGAAATTGCCAGTTATCAGCACATATACTGAAAGAGACTTTATTAAGAAGTTTTTTGAATAGCCTATGAAGTTTAATTTTAACCAAATAAGATAAAATGTTCAATCCATTCATATTGTCATTCTAAGACGTAAAGAACTATTAAATTGATGAGGTTACACATCATATACAATCTCTTAGCCTTAGGCTTAATCCTAATTTACTATCATTGTATAGGTTGAAAGAGTTCATATTTTGTAAAGATTAAGATTTAAGCATGTTTTGCTAAATATTGTCAGCTCCTCGCTGTTAACAATATATTACACAAAAAACAGTGCGTTGATGAGGGAAAAATTTAACTAATGATAACTGATCGTATCATTTTAAAAATATTTTTCATTCAATAACAAACACAGAAACTGTCCCACTATTACTGGTCCCTTCGGTCGTAACCGAAAGGTCCCTTCTGTACAAAGGCCCCCCCACGAGCAATTTCTTAAAAAAGGCCCTGACAACTATACATATTCAACGGGTATATAAGAGTTAACTGTTATTTGATAATTACTGCACCAACCGGCCCCTAGTTCATACTTTGGAGGTTCGTATATCTATCAAGTATCTTTGGTTCAGAACATGACGGGCCTATATGAAAATCCCACCGTTCGATTCAGTGAAGAAATATCTCCTAATTTCTATCGATAGTTTTAGTAAAATGTCAACATTATTGCGATTTATGGTCTTTGAAAGTCAAGCGAGATCGTATATTATCAAATTAATACGCATGTAATTGTCTCATTATATTAACTATGTCTGAACGAAAATATAGACTAGCCCATACCTTTCGCTGATCATAACTTCAGCCCCTTCGGACGTATCTTCTTTGTTAAATATTCTTGTACGAATCGCTATCAAAAACACTACTTAGAGTGTTATTTTTCAGCTTGTATCTTTAAATTTGCTTCTTTTATTTAATATGGTATTCCATTTCTGGTCTGACTTGACGTGAACTAATTTCAAAACGTCAAAACATTTGGTTAATGATTAACATTTAACCGAATTTAGCCGTTGATTGACAACTACATAAAAATACTAACCAATCCGTTTTTTCCGTTCACCAGCGGACGGGTAGCCTGCGAACAGGCTCTCAAGCTAAATTGAGAGCCTGCATCGATAACTAATGAATTTGAATATCTGCCCCGTAACGTTCGTTTTTCCAAATATGGAATGTCTATCCTTATATGGTGTTGTTTACAACTTTCGTGCAAACTAAATTTAGACCGTGCAAACTAAATTTAGACCGTACAGTTTATACTGTTTTTCGAAATATAAGATATATTCAAGCGAAAGTTCAAATGTTTTAAATACTGTTTTCTCAAAACAGAACATTTCGTGCTTTGATATAAGACGGCCAAGACCAATTTGATCAGTTAATGTGTTTTTTATGCATAGTGCTTCAGCAGTTGACATACATAGAGCTCAGCGGAAACATATAAATTATAGCATCTGACCAATGAGAATTTCGCGTCACGATTTGAGACGCAGATATCCAAATTCATTAGTCATCGATGCAGGCTCTCAATTCAGCTTGAGAGCCTGTTCGCAGGCTAGCGGACGGGTAATTCAAAAACCCCTAGTTTTGCGGCAGACGGTATTTCCTTTGCTTCCCTAATTTTCGCTGCCCGTAGAAATACCGCCTGCCATGCAGGCTAGATTTTGGCGGGCTCCTGACGTTTGGACACACGACGCTGAAAGAACAGCCAAACTAGTCGTTGCTAGTCGCTGAAAGAACAGCCAAAGCTTGTTGTTGACAGCCAAGATGTTCTGTCAACTGGCTTCGCCGGCAAAAGTCTTATTTTTAATATCAGGTCCTACCGGCGTTGTTTTCTGAGCTACATCGCCTTCTTCGTGGTACGATTGAGAATTTTATTGTTGCTGTTGTTAGCCCGTTTAATAGTGTATATCCCTGGTATATCCGCGTCCAGCAAGTTGAGACCTTGAGAAAGCTTGGCAGTCAAGCTGTACACAGAACTGACTAATTGAATCTTTGTTTGCTGTTCGGTTAAATAGAGAAACTGACTCTTAAATTCTGAACCTTGAATTTTTAACTTTAATTAAAAAGCAAAATGCACACTCTGCGGACATGTTCATGAGAATATAATTTTTTTGTGTAACGAAATCTACAACAATTGTCAATCATATTGCATGCTGTGTCTAAAAATAACATGTGAGCGTCCCACGCATAAATATCTCATATGAGATATCTATGGTCCCACGGTCTAGACTTCAGGTTAAGTTAGCATGTTCTCATAGGTTGATATATAATTAACTAAGATTTCCGATTATACGCCACGCCTCCAAAAAACTTCTTATGCTAGGAGCTCTGTGCTAGGAGCGGTCATCTCATTGGACGATTCTAAATGTAATTGACGTTTCAGCAAGAATACTGGCAAAGGATTGGATAACTTTGATCTCTGACGTCACTTTCCTGTGATATTGCTCGAAACCAAATACAGTACTAAACTGATTTCATTCGCCAGGATTAATTGGCGGCGGCGAATGAAGGAGGGCCTGATACAATTCTTTACCGCGGCGCATGTAAAAAGCCAGATCCTGGCTTTTTCGTCTGATTGGCCGATTCAAGACAAACGATTTTTTAAATCTGTCATTTGATTGGCTGGTGCTAATTAGATTATACCATTGTTGTTGATATATTTTATAACGATCACAACTACAATTATAGCCGGCCCACTAAACGGCTGAATTTAAATTAAAACTGCAGTAAAATCAGAAAATAATCGCAAATTAGCGAAATATATTGCAAATGTAGCTTATATATAAAGTATACTTAATATATATACTTTATAATTATACGTCAGTTTGTTGATAAATACGGTATAAGCGCCATGTAAAGCTCATTGTAGTCACTGTCTCACTGAAACCACTGCGGAGGAGAGAGCAATCGGGTGGCAATTTAATATAAGCTACATTTGAATATATTTCGCTAATTTGTGATTATTTTTGTTAATTTTATAAGTCCATTGCAGTTTTAATTTTTAAATTCAGCCGTCAGTGGGCTGCCTATGCTATAATTAGATTGTTGTTGTCGTTGTGTGAAATTTAAATTTCTCCAGCGACATTTTGATTGGGCTATTAAAATATAAACTTTGTTGTGGGTGGAAAGCGATCAGGTTAAGTTTTGTGTCAGGCTCTATTTGTAAAATAGAGCCTGATATGATACTCAGGTTAATACAGTACCGTTTCGTTCCTGCGGGGAACGAAACAAAAAATTGAGGCTGACCGGTCAGGCCATTAAATGGAAAGCGCCCTAAGCTAATTATAGCTATCACAGCTATGCCTGTTCGCAGGTAAAGTGTTCGCGCATGACCGCTTCGGTCGCCATATTGTAATTTTCTGTTTTAATTAATAAAACGGCATGAACGGTGTTAAAAAACATGAAAGTGCTTATGAAACGAAATTTTCACCTCATTTTTTATTGTTTTGCTAAAAAGTACTGCTAGAGCGATGAAGAAAGACGTTTATAGTTTCTTCATATCTCATCTCATTCTCAAGTTATCGCACTTTCTAAATTTTGAGTTGTGACGTCACTAGTTTGACTTGAGATAATGGCAATAACAAGAAAGTCTGATATTTTAGTGAGCATTTAATAAAATCCAGAGATAAAATTCAATGAAACTCGGTACACGTAGTGGGTGCACCATATGAATATTTTTGGCAGGTCATCTGGTTGTCATGGCAACACACTAGTCCCCAGTCTCTTCTCTTCCTTTTCACAAATTTCTTCCTGTAGACCTCTTGCAGAGGATGTTTGCTTGTTATAACGGTTTAAACTGATCACAATACCTACACGTATTATAGCAATAAGCGACAATTGCAGAAATTACTATTTATTTCGTTGGAAATGGATCATATAGAAATTGGAAGAGAAGGGACTGGGGACGAGTGTGTTGCCATAACAACCATATAAACAAGCAAAATTGTTCACTTTGTTGCACCCACTAAGTGTGCCAAGTTTCATTGAATTCTATTAAATGATCATCAAGATATCAGATTTTCTTTTTATTGGCACTATTTTGAGTCAAACTAGTGACGTCACAACTCAAAATATAGAAAGTGCGATAACTTGGGAATGAGATGAAATACGAACAAACTGTAAACGTCATTCTTCATCATTTAAGCAGTACCTTTTAATAAGACAATAAAAAATGAGGCAAAATTTCGTTTCATAAGCACTTGAAGGGATTTTGAAATAACATGACGCTCCACAGAGCGTTAAGTCGCTGGGACGATGGAAATACGCAACTTTATACAAGTAAGGCCACATAAAATAAATTACTTGATTCTCATCACCGCCCGACTGTATTTTAAGAGCCGCGTGAAGTTTTTTTATATTTTGTTATACAATATAAATGTACCGCCGGACAAAATATTTCAAGACAGTTAAGTTTTTTATATTTTATATTGGGTTTTTAGTGCCATTTTAAACTGCCAATTTCAAACAAATAGAACCTTGAAAGAAATTTTATTGCATTTTAACGGAACTTCGCATTCAGTTAAAGGGACAGTCATTGTTCGTGGAGAAATATGTTTATTTCAGTTTGTGACACTTTTATTTATTGATATATATAAAATTATATAAATATAAAACATAAAATATAAACCTCCCGCCTTTTCGACATTTTCAAAGTGTATAGTGCATGGTGAGAATCAAGGAATTTATTTTATGTGGCCTAATACCACTAAAGAAAGAGCGTCCGAAAATATTGATTCTTGAAGTTTGCAGTTTGCTTGGCAGTTAGCGCTAATAGTTAAAACAAGTACAACCATGTAGCAATGTTGTTTTAATAGTCATATAGTATACAGTATCTTAAATTATGGCTGAGTATTTTAATAAAATATAAAACAACGGTAACTCCGAAAATGAACATTTTAATCGTTCTAGCTTTCGACTAAGATTCAGTCATCATCAGGAATGATGCTAGGTTACATTATAAACACAACATTATAAATTTAAACTTATATATCGATGTAATGTAACCTAGCATCATTCCTGATGATGACTGAATGTTAGTCGAAAGCTAGAACGATTAAAATGTTTATTTTCGGAGTTACCGTTGTTTTATATACAGTATCTAGATAGAAACTTTATTTATACACGCTGACCCCGTCAACCGAAGCTGATTTCCACGGGGGGCGTGTGCAAATCGTATGTGTTAAAATTATAAGCGTTTATCCTGTTGTCATTACACAGATCGGCTGATGTTATGTTACCAACTGGTGCGTCGAAGGCAGGAAGGCACGAATATTCTTCGCCTCGAAACTATAGACGCATTATAACGTCTGTTCTGATACAATATTAGCGAGCTTAAGCATGCAGGACGGCAACACGGCGACGATGGCCAAAACAAATTCCTTCAAATAAATGATAGTAAAGAAAACTTGTTGTATATTATAATTCGTATGAATTTAATACAGTATACGAAGTTGAAAACATTGGCTTTATGTTTGGGAAGAGTTCTACTGAACCGAATTTTAAGTTGCACTTGTTACGGCTTCAAATGCAGGCGTTGTATAAACGACGTGAAAATCTGTGATTTGCCGCTGTTAACAGAACGACGACTACGTCTGAAACTCCCCCGGGGCTTTAATTATTTACTTCTTTTCATTGACTCATTGTATTGGTTGCCGTCGTCGTCGTGTTGCCGTCCTACATGCTTAAGCTCCCTAATGCCTCGTGAGAGGATAGGTATTTCGAATGATTACCAAGCGACTAGCTAATGACCTGTGTGTCTACAACCATGCATAACAATAACGCTTTAGTCATATCTACATACCAGTGTGCAGTACATAGGTGGCGAACCGGCATGGAATAATAATGTTTGTGGAAATTGAGTTCCTCCTTTTCAGCTTTTGGTAATACATTTTGTCCCAATGAACCTTAATCCTTCAATGTTATTTAATGGGAATAGGTGATGTAGACTCGAAAGAAGCAGGCGATGTCTGACTTTAAGATAATTTATGTAGATCCAAAAGACCAAAATATTATTACTGACTGGAAAGTTTGGAAATTGAGCACCGGAGATTTCGAAAATTCAATAGTAAATATATAAGAAAGCATCAAAATTTGCGCGCCCGATATCTCCGCCGCGCGATACAAACTTTAAAATATATATAAAATTATGTACAAGTTACCACTTCCTTCCTCGATAACATAACAGTGAAACGTCGTGATAACTTTTAGTGAATTTTTAATATATTTCTTTCAAAAACCCCAAATGAAAAGACACGACTCTTTGAAATGGGTGGACGCTAAACAAGTAATTTTTTATGTGGTCTAATGTACTAATGTACTGGTTGCCGTAAAAAAAGATAGTTGCATATCGCGGGAATCAACTTTGCACGAGACTTCCATTATATGTTCATGACACTGTGTTTAAAATTTAACAAATTACTTTTGACTTTTCACTAATTGAATATTCACTAAAAAGCTAAGCTTTCCTCTTAAATTGTTTTATGCATATTATTTAGACAAACACTTGGAGAATAGGAGGAGATTGTATATACATATCAACTTTTTCGGATCTCTCGTGCCATTTAAAACAAGTATACATCTCGTGCCTATTTGTGATCTCGTGGCGCCATTACAATCTTATTGTATATGCTCTCGTGCCATTTTAATTGTTTAGATAAGAGATTGTATGTCTATTTTTACAGATTATTTTTGTTGTCATAAAAATTATATGAGCCATCAAGAAAAAAAAACACAAAATTAATTAACTCTTAGATATTCATTTTGGCCAGAGTCAATAAGCTACATATAGATGTGTAAAAATACCGGCACGTTTTGATCACGTGCACGTCAGGTTTTAAAGCAATATTCCACATTTTCGAATGTTACACTCGTAAAATTCAATTTATTTTGCAAGATAGAATGAAAAATAATAATTATGATGCATAAAGATTGTCCATGCCCACACATTTCATTTTCTCATATCTATACTGTAAATAAGTAACGGGGCATTTTAATAAACGCATATTTGAAAAATTTATACTCCTTTTGCCGATCACGTTTCCAAAGACGTCTATATAGTAACTTTAGCGAGCGAAAATGAACAAAACAGCGGGCTATAAACATACATTTTATCGGGTGTTTTTTTTACCTTATCATCGACGAAATAACTGTTTAAATAAAAGAGAAGAGAAAGTTCAACATATTTTGTTTCGCTCAGACTCAGTAACATACAAGATCATGCCAACTTCAGACAATATCGTCGCTGTTCATGCAGTAAAAAATCTAATTCAAAAATGCTTATGCTGAAATAAATTAACAATACAAAACTATATATGAATAAAAAAACTACCAAAATCTACTTTGCTCAGTAAAATCAATATCATTTAACTATATATACACATGAACTGACACTATATACCATGCATAATATACTTTATTTACATGCACAAATTATTTTTCAAAAACGCTTACATTAAAACATTTACCCCCAAAAATAAGATATTATAGTTCATTACAGAAAAGACTTAAAAAATAGCTTACTTCGATACAACTGCAGTAGTTTTGATGTTCTCAAAGCCATCGGTATTGTTTTCCTTACATGCAGGAGTAGTGTTGAAACTGTTACAGTGTTAGCTATTCTGTCAGCAGAACTAGATTGTATAATGCTTATATATAATAAAGTATGAATATAAGATCTTATCTATATTAATTAAACGAAGATGCATACATAGTTAATATATATATATATATATATATATATATATATATATATATATATATATATATATATATATATATATATATATATATATATATATATATATATGACGAAGATAAAATTCGCGTATATAACCTATGTGCAATATTTTTATACATAACATTTTTGTACGTCATAATACATATTTTTGCAGTTATATAATGTTTTGGTACGTTGCAAAAACATTCTAATTAACGAATGCTATACTCTTATCTATATATAAAAGAAGATAGTTGCATAGCGCGGGAATCAATTTTGCACGAGACTTCAATTATGCTTGTTTATGTCATTTTTCACAAAAAAACTTGCCTCTTAAATCATTTCATGCATATTATTTAGATAAACATTTAGAGAATAGAGATTGTCTATATACAGATTATACAGGGTGTATCAAAAAAAGCGCAATCCTCGACTAAAATGTAAATTGCTAAACAAACAATGGACGAAAACGTTAAAGTTTACATTCATTTTAAAGCGTAGCCATTCAGCTTTCTAACAGTGGGTTGTTTCTTAAATTTGACTCATTGGTTCGCAGGTAATAATACTTTACGTTATTGCGATTGGAGATTTAAAAAATTGAGATGGAATAACAAATCGTTCTCATGAAAATAACTGATTTTTTCATTAAAACAAAAAAATGTTGCATTTTATTAAATGGATTGTAACAATAAGTATAATTACGGCTTTTCTTCCGCTATTTTTAACTCAGTTTGAAACTTCAAATGCGATATAATTTTGGCTTGGACCATCTAAGCTGACTGACATCAACTTGCTATAATTTCTGTTTACATTACATCGCAATTCGATAACACTCTGGCTCAGACACCAGAATGTTTTGACGATTTTTAGCATTCGTTTAGATTTTCAAACAACCTGGTCTCTTTTAAAATACTTTTAATTTGTTCTTACGTGGTTTTCCAGATGTAGTGACGACAACATTAAAGTTTAAAGAAGAAAATTCTAACATTTAAACCGACTAAACAATAATATAGTAAACTTGCATAATTAAACAGCAACTAAAAATTATAGGTTTTACTAAATCTTTTCCTGTGCAATTATTACTAGCATTGGAGACAAGAATAATAGTTTGTTTGAAAGAGAAAAGAACAGGCTTTGAAGTAAGCCTAAAAGCATTTAACTAGAAATAGTATTTCGAAAGTTATTAAGCACAAATAATGAATTGCGTTTATTTTGATACACCCTGTATATAGATATCAACTATTTCGGATCTCGTGCCATTACAAATAATATCCGTGCCTATATTTTGGATCTCGTGCCATTACCATCTTTTATAATATAAGTGGGATATAAGAGACAATTTGATTGGCTAATGCGCGTGCATTGTGACGCAAATCACGCAATAATGCACTGTGTTCCTTGGCACTGCCTTGCTCTTTCTATGTTTTCCCCGCTTCATCTCTGCTTTTTAGCCAAAAATATAGACAAAACTATAGAGCATTTAAAATACAAAATGTATCAGAAAGAAGGAAAGAATAGATCAAAGGAACAAATCAATATTATCTATAGTTCTACGTGTAAAAACAGTATAAAAATTAACCGACTTGGCATTCGTCGAATTTGTTTTTGTTTCAAAAAGAAAAAAAGCGTGCAAAATACTATTCTGAAAATAGTCGAGAAAAAACTGGAAAAAATACAGGAATACCAAAAACATAGAAAAAGGCAACGAAACTGAACATAAGTAAATGAAAGTACCTTCAATGCTTTTGATAAAAACTGCTAAATATATTTTCGGCGAAAGGCAAAAAATACAATAATTTCAAAAATTAAAACTGAGCAACACGACGAAACCTACGATTTAACGTCCTTCATGGCAAATCCGACAGCCCAAATGCTTAAATTAAAAACATTTGCAAATCAGTCTGTGTATCACTGCGCCCCAAGCATTTTAAACAGTTTCTTCGCAACTTTAGCATCAAAACTTTCTCAAATTTTGTATTGTTTTTGCTCCTTCGCTCGTTTGAAAATTCAAGCGATTCAAGCGACAGTAAAAGCATGCGCGTGATGTCACCGAGTACATATTAGGAGAATTTCAAAGTTGATCTTTTGAGTAAAATTGTTTACCATGTAATATCTTCTTTTATATTATAAAAGAAATCGAAAAACTCGTCTCGTGCGTTTATGGTGTGATAATGCACTCGGGGAATGTTGGGAGAACACTCGAGAAGCGTGTAAAACACTTGGCTATGCCTCATGTTTTACACGCTTCTCTCGTGTTCTCCCAACATTCCCCGCGTGCATTATCACACCATAAACGCACGCGACTCGTTTTCTATTTCTTAAATCATGCATGGACTATTCCAGCTATAAACTAAATTTTGATCTAGGCAAGAAGAACAAAATCCATCACACCACAGCTAGAAGCGCACGTTAGGATTAGTAAAATTGCAAAGTTTGGCCGCGAAATGTTGTTAAATGCGGAAAATATAGCCCTGCGAAAGTTGCAAATTTTGTATTAATTTATTACGCGCGAAAAAATGCACCACATTTGGACTGAAAGAAGTGCATTTTCCCGTGCGTAATACAAAATTTGCAAATTCCGCAGGGTTATATTTTCCTCATTTTACAACATTTCGCAACCAAACGTTGCAATTTTACTCATTTTAACATGCTCTTTCTATAGCTGTGGTGATGGATTTTGTTCTTTTTAATTGCCTAGATCAAAATTTAGTCGATAAGTGGAATTTTCCATTGTCTACATGCATGCATGCATGCAGATTTAGCATTATTTTACAGATAAAGCACTAAACATACTTTTTAAGTTTTTTTTACCGATTGAGAAACGTATCGAAAAATAAAAATTTTGTGCTCGATGTGCTTGACTGATAATAACTATAATAACAAAATTAAATATTCATGTGATCATTTATTGCTGTCACAAGAACCTGCTTCTCTTAATTTGTTGTCGCTAACCAATTTAAAGCACTGCGGAGTGACCACGGGCTTGGCTGTAAGATACAATGGTATCCAAGCTAGATTTTATAAGATTTTCCTGGCAGTGGGAGCGGTTTTTGGCAGTGGGGAGTGGAGTTTTTCTATCAGTAATGTGTGTAGATATTATTCGACGCTACGCAAGATCAAGCGTTGCAGATGTCCGTGTAGATATTATGCTAATACATCTGCCTCTTTTCATTGTATATTGGAGGGAGAACTTGTTTTTAAGCTTAACCCTGGGCCCACGAATGTGGTATCTTTGAATGCCAATATGAACAGTTTACGCCGTATTGGCACCATTGTTTCGAGTCGTCCCGATTATGGGCTAATTAATTCAACAGCATTACGCCCTCCCGTATCTGACTTTGTTCGACGCTCGCAGCAAACAAATCTAATTAGTATTGATTGTTTGCCTCAAATATCTGCGAACTGTCACAATAACTCTCTTAAATTCTGTCTAGTCAACAGTCGCTCAGTCAGGAATAAGACCGGAGATATCGCTGACTACATCGTGCATGATTGCAAGCCCGATATTCTTGCAATTACGGAATCTTGGCTGGGCAGGGATGATGATGCGGTACGAGCTGAGTTATGTCCTGAAGGTTACGAAATGGATGATCACGTGCGTGGCATGCGTCGCGGTGGAGGAATTGCCTTGTTGTATCGAGATTTTCTTGGTGTGACAAAAGTGGATGCAGGGAACAAGAAATCATTTGAGTTTTCTGAGTGGCTGGTTAACTCATCGTCTGCACATCAACTGCGTATTCTTGTTGTCTACCGACCTCCTTATTCAAGTGAACACAGGATACCCGTGAGTGTGTTCTTGGCTGAGTTTTTTAGTCATCTAGAACCGTTGTTACTGTGCAAGGAACCGCTATTGATTTGTGGCGATTTTAACATACACGTTGACTCCACTGAAGATCCTGATTCTGTTAAGTTTTGTGATCTACTTGAATCGGTTGGATTGCGGCAGCATGTGAATCAAGCTACCCATGTTAATGACCACACCCTTGACTTAATAATAACACGTTTTTCGGATAATATTATGGATGGCAGACCCGGCATTGATCGGTTTATATCGGACCATGCCGCTGTTGTCTGTCATCTTGCAGCTCCAACGTCATTGATATCGTATCGAAAAATAACTTATAGGAAGTTGAAGTCTGTGGACCGCGATGTTCTCAGGGAGGATCTGGCAGCTACATCACTGTGTACCTCCCGTTATTGTGAGACGGAATATCGGCGAGACGAGAACAGCACTGACGCTTTGGCACGTGAATACAACTTAACTCTCAAGAAATTGACTGATCGACATGCTCCACTAAAAACAAAAGTGCTTCGGGCGAGACCATCTGCTCCTTGGTACAATGTGGATATTGACGCAGCTAAGAGACGACGTAGGAAGGCTGAAAGAGTGTGGCGGAAAAGCAAATCACTGGCTGACTTTACTGAGTTTAAGTCTTCTAGAAATCGTGTGACTTATTTAATAAACAAAGCAAAGAAAACATATTACACTGACTTCATTTCGGACAACAGTGAAAATCAAGGTAAGCATTTCCGTGCGGCAAGTAAACTGTTAACCACCAAGAACGAATTAAACTTCCCAAATTACACCAACAATACTGCGCTCTGTAATGATATTGGGGAGTTCTTCGTGCGAAAGGTCTCTAAGATTCGCTCTGATGTGGATCGGCCTGTTCTTGATGAAGAATCATGTGCTCCTGTACCCAGTGAT